ATGTGCTACCTCCAAGAGGATGTAATAAATTAAGAGAAAGGAGAGATATGATTAAAGTGGGTTTGAAAGTGGGAAAAGATGAGAGAGAGGGATGTCGTGCATGTGTGTGTATGGGGCAGTGTGTTGAGTGTGTGCCCATGTGCATAGTTCAAACTAGTGGGAGCCTTCCCAGTGGATGTTATTCGTATAGATCTATTTTGTTAAATTCTAAATGCTAACCCTAGTCGGTTGAGCATCAAATGGCGACCGAAGAAGCAGTGGTTGTGGCGGTGGAGTCTGTTCCTGATCTGCCGCTGGTGGTGGCGGCGGATGAGGCGGCGGAGGTGGAGCAACCGACTGCAAAGTCGAAGAAGGCGAAGGAGCCCAAAACGAGGAAGCCTAGGAGCCCTCCTTCTCATCCCCCATATGTTGAGATGGTTACGGAGGCAATTGTGACATGGAAGGAGAAAAATGGATCGAGTCAGGACGCGATCACGAAGTTTGCAGAGGAAAAGCATAAGAATCATCCGGCGAACTTCAAGAAATTGTTGTTGTTCCATTTGAAGAAGCTAGTTGTATCTGGTAAACTTGTGAAGGTGAAAGGCTCGTTCAAGCTTCCTGCAACTCGGCCTTCTGTGCCGAAGCCTGTTGCTAGTGCTCCAGTGAAGAAGAAGCCGGCTCCTGCGAAGCCGAAGACTGTGAAAGTGACGTGGCTTTTGTTGGAATTGTATTGAAGAAGCTCATCGTCCTGTGGACTGTGGCACTGTGTCAAAGTGGATTTTGAAGAACAGCGCAGAATCTGAAAACATGAATTGGATACTAGCTAATTCCAAGCCTTGTCCGAAGTGCAAGCGACCAATTGAAAAAACAACCAAGGCTGTATGCACATGGCGTGCACACCCCTTGCAAATTTGAATTCTGCTGGCTATGCCTTGGTGCGTGGTCTGATCATGGTGAGCGGACAGGCGGTTTCTATGTATGTAATCGATACGAGGCAGCTAAGCAAGAGGGAGCGTATGATGAATCTGAGAGGAAGAGAAGAGAGAGAGCTAGTGTATGCATGTATCTGTGTGGTATGTTTTCACACTTTGTGGACAAGACTTGGAAATTTCTACTCAAGCCGGGATATTTGCACGCTGGCTGATCCCTAGCATTTTTCCTTATGGCCTCCTTCAGTGCCAACTCGGATTCTTACAGACTCAAAATAATGTAAAGCCAATGATAATAAGCACTGTGTAAGAAATAGATGTATTATTGATTGATTGTGTTGTTTCTTTAACAATGTTAGAAGCTCCTTATATAGGAGAGGATTACAAACCTGAGTAGGAAAGTAGCCGAAAGTAGCCGAACACTAACTTAAAGTAATGAATAATAAAGACAAGTACTAACCTACTAACATCATTATAAGCACTAATATACACTAACAGCCCCCCTCAAACTCAAGGAGGATAAAATTAACCAACTTGAGTTTGAAGAGAGTAACAAAATAAAATAGGAAAATAAAATAGGATAGGAGACACTGTATGGTCGTGTCGAACCGTTGGTGAAGACACTGTATGGTCGTGTCGGACCGTTGGTGAAGACACTGTATGGTCGTGTCGGACCGTTGTAGCAGATAATGTCTGGACAGTTTACGAGGTCATGCCGGACTGATGTAGAAGCCAATGTTGTGACAGTTGACAGGGTCATGCTGGACCGATGTAAAAGCTGACCGGAATCAATGTCGAGACAGTTTATGGGGTCATGCCAGACCGTTGTAGAAGCTGACCGGAATCAATGTCGGGACAGTTTACGGGGTCATGTCGGACCGATATAGAAGCTTGTGGTGGTGCACCAAGGAGGCGACTTAGGGAGTGCGCTATGGGGGG